GCAGCGCCATGACCATGCCGATCACCATCAGGACGGAGTCGTACTTCCCTCCCGCCTGGGGTGCGCCCGCATACGCCTCCAGTTGGCCTCGGGCAGCCCGAAGCCACACGGCGTCGAACGTCCCGCATGGCTCGTCCACGTAGCTGACGGGGCGGAGGGGGTCGCGTTTCCGGATGGGCGCGACCTCACGCCACCATCCACTTGGCATGAGGCCCGCCCGAAACCGCCACCAAACACACCAATGCCCATGTGACGAGCTTCCCACCCCAGAGTTCGGTGAGGACGGCCGCACGCGGGAGGTGCAGGGAGCGCCAATTCCCCTTCATCTCCCTGAGGACCGCGTCGACGTCATCCAAGGAGAACGGGTCATGCATGCCCGAACCTGCTGCCTCCGCTTGAGCTTCCCTGCGTGCCTGACTGACCTCATCGGCCACGGCGCGATTGAAGGCTGCGTCGCCAGCCCCAGCCTGTGTCCCGCGTGCCAATACATCCCCAGTGATGACCTCAAAGCGTCGGCCACCCCCAATACGTCGCCAGACACCTGGCGACTCAGGGCCAACTGTACCGGTAGGCGGGGCTCCAATGCGCGACTCATGAAGGCTTCCGCCTCCCCGGGCGACGCCGCTGCGAGTTCGAGGTACCGGTCGAGAGCTCTGCTGGCGGCTGGGTCGGAGGAGAGCCAGCTGCGACAACTTCGGTGAGACAACGCCAGCCGAAATCCGCTCAAAATCGGCCCCTGGATCCCTCCAGGGGTCCAAACGCACGACGACGCCGACGACGGCGACAGCGAGACGACGACGACGACGACGACGACGACGACGACGACGACGACGACGACGACGACGACGACGACGACGACGACGACGACGACGACGACGACGACGACGACGACGACGACGACGACGACGACGACGACTTCCCGAGCCGCGTCCAGCCGGGGCGACGAGGGCAAGGCCGCAGGGGGGGGTCACCTAAGTAGCAAATTTGGTCCACTTCTTGCTGTTAGGTGACCCCCCCTCCCCGCGGCACCAGGAGGGCGCCGGGCGCGGGCCGCGGCGGCCGCGGGGAGGGGGTCACCTACGCAACAAATTTTGCCCCAAACCAGCCCTTGGGTGACCCCCAGCGCCCCCCATGGGTAGGAAGGCGGCCTCTGTCACGCCCGGCCCTCCGCCGACTTTTCGGGCGGGCGGGTCCGCCTCGTCTGCGACAGCCGCGGTCTGGGCCGCCCGAAGCTCCCCAATCCATTCGCCCTCGCTGTCGTCGTCGCGGCCCTCACCAGCAGCGCGCGCTGCCCGAGGCCGTCCGCGCGGCCCGTGCGCAACCGCCATGCCCGAAAAATGACCAGCGACAGTGTAGACAACAGCCCTCCACCATACCACCCGGTCGAGCAGGCCCTGCCGCGTGCCCCGGCAGCGCCCCTCGACTACCCAGCGACGGACGACGGCAGACCGCATGGCCGTACCTGCCCAGCCCACCAGAAATCGAAGGGCGAGTGGTACCAGGAGCAAGGCGTCCCCGCAGTCGGCGTAACGCTCCCACCTCGCGAAGCTTACTTCCGAGTCCCCCGCGCAATCCACCACCCCCGCGACCGATACATCGACCCGGCGATGATTGCTGCGCATCCTTGCGTCCGCGGGCGCCACCACTTTGACATCCGCCACCAGTTCCAGCGACGAGGCCACCACGTCGATGATGGACCCCGACGCGTGCGTCGGGCACCCAACAAGGTTGCGGACCATGGACCCGAAATCGAACGCGTCGTGCAACCACCGCCACACATCGCGATCCAAATTCTCCTCCAGGCGCTTGTTGATACCGCCCAACGCCGAAGAATGTAGATTGAAGTCGCCCGCCACCAAGAACGACCAGCCGGGAAAGCGCGGGCGGGCGCGGAGCTGGCGCCACTCCTCCAGTCGGGTCCTCCAGAAAGCTCGGCGGACCCCCACGCCGCAATTAGGGGGTGGCCCATAAACTCCCAATAACAAAATCCCAGTGCGGGCTGAACCTCCCAGGGATACGGCAGCCCAAACGGCCCGTGCATCCCCCACCCCCTCCAAGACTTCCACGCGACGGCCGATCTCGTCCAGGACGAGCAGCGCGACAGTGTCCAGAAGTGCACTGCTTTCACCGTGGTACGCGTACCTTGCCCAGCGGGGCAGAGGCTGCTGGGGGCCAGCCTCGGCTCGGAGAGGACTGCTAGGACCACCCCTCTGCTGTGGAATGGTACGACGAGGTCGCGAATCCTGCCCTCATGAGCTCCTTCACCACGTCTGGAACCCAACCCGCCCTGTACGTTGAACGCGGATACCACTAGATTCAAGGCGCGCGCTGGTACTACCGCGTCCTGCACCAGCTCGTGGGCCGGCAAACCCCCTTCCCAAGCCCCGTACACGGAATTCATGGAGACGTCCCTCGCTTGCCAAGCCATCCCGGCTTCCACTCGAAGGCACGCTTGACGCGCCGCCCCGTCAAAAATCCGAAAAGCTTCCAATTCTGGGGGTACGCTGGAGAGACCGTGCGGGGGCTGCGCTCCCAGGAGGGCCCGCGCGTCCCGCCTGCAGCAGATCGCTCTCCAGGCCCCCGCGCGGCCGCTGCCACCTGGAAGCGCCCTCTCGGCCAACTCCCGTATTTCAGCCGCCGCGCGACCTGCCTCCTCACGGGTCGCCCAGCTACCCCGCGTGGCCGCATCAGGGGGGCCCGCCCCGACGCCACCACCCGACGCGCCCGCCATGGCGCGCTCCGCGGGTGGGGGGTATCTTGACCCCGCCGAGCAGTGCCATTCGCGAGTTGGGCCGAAACCTTGAGCCAAAATGGCTAGGAGGAAGAGGAGGAGGAGGAGGAGGAGGAGGAGGAGGAGGAGGAGGAGGAGGAGGAAAAGGAGGAGGAGGAGGAGGAGGAGGAGGAGGAGGAGGAGGAGGAGGAGGAGGAGGAGGGAGGAGGAGGAGGAGGGAGGAGGAAGAAGACGAGGAGGAGGAGGAGGAGGAGGAGGAGGAGGAGAGGAGGAGGAGGAGGAGGAGGAGGGGGCGCAGGAAAAGGACGGGCAGGAGGATAACTGCTTGGAATCACGAGCGCTTGAACCTGCCCTGACACGTCTGTTCCAGAGCCTTAGGAGGGGAGTACGGGTGAGGGGCAAACGTGGCCCGAAGGGGTAGTGGTTGGGTATTGGAGATCTTCCTACCCGTCAGACCACATACATATGGTCTGTGGGATATCCGTAAGGGCTTCGCCCCCTGCCGCCGGCCCCCTCTCTCGGAGAATGGGCCATGGAAGAGCTAAGTCATGAGGCCTTGGCGCTGTCGTGAAGCAGTATCGAAACTTCATGCGAAGCCGATTCGCAATCAGCAAAACCAACTGATCACAAGAGGGGTTACCACACCTGGCGATTGGTAAGACGTGTATGGTTTACGGGCTTGGTTACCACACCTTGCGATTAAAGGGCCGAGGGAGTTCTCGCAGTTTGGGTTACCACGCCTTGCGATGGATGTGCGTGAAGGGTGGCACCGAATTTCAGAAATGTGCCAAATCCCCTGTGTTTTTGGACCCTGACCCCGCGGATCTGCGTAAGGGGTGGCGCCGAATTTCAGAAATGTGGCAAATCCCCTGTGTTTTTGGACCCTGACCCCGCGGATCTGCGTGAGGGGTGGCACCGAATTTCAGAAATGTGGCAAATCCCCTGTGTTTTTGGACCCTGACCCCGCGGATCTGCGTGAGGGGTGGCACCGAATTTCAGAAATGTGGCAAATCCCTTGTGTTTTTGGACCCTGACCCCGCGGATCTGCGTGAGGGGTGGCACCGAATTTCAGAAATGTGGCAAATCCCTTGTGTTTTTGGACCCTGACCCCGCGGATCTGCGTGAGGGGTGGCACCGAATTTCAGAAATGTGGCAAATCCCATGTGTTTTTGGACCCTGACCCCGCGGATCTGCGTGAGGGGTGGCACCGAATTTCAGAAATGTGGCAAATCCCTGTGTTTTTGGACCCTGACCCCGCGGATCTGCGTGAGGGGTGGCACCGAATTTCAGAAATGTGGCAAATCCCTGTGTTTTTGGACCCTGACCCCGCGGATCTGCGTGAGGGGTGGCACCGAATTTCAGAAATGTGGCAAATCCCCTGTGTTTTTGGACCCTGACCCCGCGGATCTGCGTGAGGGGTGGCACCGAATTTCAGAAATGTGGCAAATCCCCTGTGTTTTTGGACCCTGACCCCGCGGATCTGCGTGAGGGGTGGCACCGAATTTCAGAAATGTGGCAAATCCCCTGTGTTTTTGGACCCTGACCCCGCGGATCTGCGTGAGGGGTGGCACCGAATTTCAGAAATGTGGCAAATCCCCTGTGTTTTTGGACCCTGACCCCGCGGATCTGCGTGAGGGGTGGCACCGAATTTCAGAAATGTGGCAAATCCCTGTGTTTTTGGACCCTGACCCCGCCGATCTGTGTGAGGGGTGTCGATTTCGAGCCCCCCCAGCAATTCAGACAACGCGCCCAGGAAGTGCTAAATATTTGGTTTGGGCCTCCCCCCCCTCGCGCGGTCAATCAACTAGTTACAGTAACCAGCAAGAAGCAGAACTGTAACACTGGAAACTACAAGCTACAACTGGTACAGGAAACTGCGAATCCCGCGCCTACAGCCTGGTGGCCCCACAAGGGGGCCGGCGGATTTTTTCGTGCCTGGATCTGTTTGTTCTTTTCTCACTACCGCCTTGCCTTCTTCGTTCTCTCCTGCTTCTTCTCCGAGACACAGCTGTCTTGACTGCAGCTATCCTGTCATTAATTCCGGCCATGCGCTCCCCTGTGTGGCCAGTGTGGCCGTCCTCTTCCTCCCCTGCTCCCTCCTTCCCTCCTTATTTTTTTCCTCCCGTCCCCCCCTTCTCCCCATCCTCCTCCTCCCTCCCCCACTCCTCCTCCCACCCCCCCTCCTCCCTCTCCCTCTCCTCCTCCTCCCCTTCCTCCTCCTCCCTCCTCCTCCCCACTCTTTCTGCTCCCGCCTTCTTGGAACCAAGAGGCGGCGCCCCTGCCGGACGAGTTCGTGGCCGCGTGCAGCATGAATAACGACACCGATCCCAAGCAGGCCTCCCCCTCTGCGTCGTCCTCCCTTCCCTTCTTCCTTCCCTCCTCTTTCTCCCCCCCTCCCTCCTCCCCTTCTCGAGCGGCAGATCTGCATCCCCTGTCCATCTGCGCTGCCTTTCTAGCTTATGCTTTTGCTGGGTGCAGGGAGGTATTGCGAAGGCCTTACGGCCGGTGCCGCCGACCCTGAATGGCGACGACGACGACGACGACGACGAGCGCTCTTGGGGGCCTCTTGGGGGTAGTTTGTGGGACTCATGGGAAGCTCTTAGGGGCCGCTTGGAAGCCTCGTGGGGGCCTCTTGGGGCTTCCTGGGGGTCTCTTGGAGGGGGCCTGGGACGTCTTGGAGGCTTCTTGGACGGTCTTGGGGCTATCTTGGGCGTTTTCGGCCGATCTTTGGGCGACTCGGGGCCCTCTTGGGCCGTCTCGGGGGCCATCTTGGGCATTCGGACCTCATTTGGAGTGTTTTCGAGTTTCTAGGCCGCCCGAGGAAAAACGAATATGCCCCCCCCCCCCCTCCCCCACCCCCCCCGGGACCCCCCCCCCTGGGGAAGGGATCAAAGGGAAGGGGCTTCCCTTCGAATCTACAACGGCATAGACAACGACCGCCAGAGCACTGCAACGACGACGACGACGACGACGACGACGACGACGACGACGACGACGACGACGACGACGACGACGACGACGACGACGACGACGACGAACGGCACAGCCCCTCGCACACGCCGACAGGGTCGGCGGATTTCACTGTCGTTTGGCCCCTAAGTACCTTCCCGCGCCCGCCTGACACGCGCCTGATATTGTACATTCCGCCTTATTGCATCCGCCTTAATGAAACATTCCCCCACCCGCATTTCATTTTCTGCTTGGTAGCTGAGCTTCGGGTCTGCGAGCTACTGCCGCCATGGCCCGCGTGGCGTTCTCCTCTCGCCAGGCATCGATGGCAACGGCTTCTCCCCTTCATTGTCTTCGAGCTCGTCGGGCCAACCGCCTTCAACACCCGAACCACGCACGCCGGATCGCCTTTGCGACGCTTTACCCGTGCCTCGTGGCGGGGGAATCGCACATGCCTGGGTTCAATTCGCACAATGACCACGACAGTGAGCTCTACAGGGACAACGTCGCCGCGCCGCTTCTGAATGCTGTGTTTTCTGGGCTTGCCCAGACTATGTTTGAGCAGCTCGTGGACCTGACGGCTACGATTTCTTCGCATATGGAGATGCCCACAGGTGGAGATTCAGCCGCGAGTAATGAGCCGTCGTTCGAGACAGCGTTCACATCAGTGGCACCAGCCGAAGGTCTCGAGCTCCTCGCAACTATGTTGCGATAGCCCTGGGAACAACAACCTGAGAAACGAAGAGAATATTGGGAAACCCGCGGAGCGTTTGGCGACTATGTTGTCACCGTTTCAAGAGACAGCGAAATAGCTTTGTGACTATCTGTTTTCGATCTTTCTGAACATGACCTATCGCGACCCCCATCGCCGATGCGCTCCTCGACGATCGTGCACTTGGGGGTGGTCAGTACAGTGACGATACGACGCGCGAAGAACATTACCGTGTCTATGTAATGGGATGCTCCGAGTGCCGAGAACACCGCAACGACGCGACGGAAGACACGCCCGATGCGCTGATGAGGAGGAACGCATCCTGGGCAGGTATTCGCGTCGGTTCCAAGGGTCATGGTCAGAGCAACGCCGTCGGTGGATCCCTGGCCTCCATCGCCTCCTTGACATATGGAGGGGCGTCCAGTTTGGAAGGGAGGCCATCGGAGTGGCAATCATTGCCGTCGCTGGCTGCCTATCTTGCATGGGAGGCGGCGGCGGCGACAACATACGACGTTTCCACACCTGGGTTCCGAGCAGCAATCTCGAGTGCCTTTCCAGCGCTGAGTGGGGTGGTTGTGGGAGGTGATGATCTGGTCAATGGCGAATTCAGACGTCGACGAGTTTTGCAAGGCAGCCTTCGTATCATTTCGACTCGCCGGCATGGGTGGCGCGTGATTTCGTGGGCGAGTGGCCGCCGGCTGGCCTGATCCAAGGAGGGCGCACGAACGGCGACCCAGTGCCACCGGTGACTTTCCTAACGCGCAGTTTGGCCGATCGTTGGGGCCATATTGGCTGGTGGGGGTGCGCCTCGGCAGTCTCGGCGCTCGTGGGCTGCCACGGGCTGCCGCAGGAGCGCGTCGACAATTTTCTTGAGAGGTTCGACTTTCTTCGCAACCGCTCACAACATGCTGGTCAGCTCTTGATCGGCTACGAGGGGTCTGAGCTACCTTCGCCTGCTCGCGGTCGGAGTGTCGAGCGTCCAGCTGATTCTGATCTTGCGGCGTTACATCATAGCCTACCCTGCCAGCGCAGTGCAGCTCGCGCGGATGACGGGCCAGCTTTGCCGCTTTGGGCGCGTGGTCGAGGGGTCGCCCCGCCATCTCGCCTCAGCGGTCCACTCGGCCCAACGGCAGACCTTCCTCACGGATGCGCCCTCGCGAGATCAGGCTCGGGTGTGTATGATAGAGTGTCTATGATGCTGCGGCTGGATCGAGCTGTTGCGGCCTGGGCGCGGCAGCGTTGGGGGCGGCGCCCAGTCAACCTGCGCCGGCACCGCCAGTGCAGGAGGCATTCCCAGCAGCGGGCGCCGACTCAGGTGCAGATGCCGACGCCGCCAGCTCGTTCGGCCACGAGGCAGCTGCAGGCGACCACGAAAATCACGACGCCCCCGTGAAACATCGCGCGATTATATATTTGAGGGGGGGTGCGAGCGCGGTTTGCCTCGGCGACCGCGAGCCCGCTCGCCGCGATTGGAGGGCCATCGAGCGGACAGTTGCGAGCAAGGGTGAAGGCTGCCGCCCCCTCCTGGCGGACTTGTCCGGCCGCGACCTCCGAGAGACGTTCGCAGGTTTCGGGGGGGCAAAGTTAGGGGGGTTTCAGGACCAGTCGCAAAGGCGAGGGGAAAAGGGAGGTCCGGGGCCGTTGGCGTGGTTTCGGGCCTCCAAGGCAAGCCCGTGGGCCCTGGCGGGGTACGTTTCCCTTGCTACGAGTGTGATTCAGGGGCGCACCTCGTCCGCGACTGCCCCCGGCGCCCCAGCCAGGGGCGCGCTCTCTTCCTCGACGCCTGCGCCTGGCCGCCAGCATCGCGCCGCTCGCGCGTCTCGGACTGCGCGGGCCGCCGAGTCCAGCTGGGCAGCGGCCCTTGGCGGGCCCGTGCGCGGTCTGGATGGCCGGGGGCGCCGCCGGAAGTCCGCGGCCGATGGCTGAGGGTCCAGGTGGGAGTGATCCAGCGCAGGGCGCTGACCCTTGGAATGGCGTGCAGCCGCCGTCGGCATCAGCGGTGCAGCGGCCGGCGGCCGCAGCCGCCGCTTCAAGTTCGTCGCCCGACGGCCCGCGGCAGCAGGTCGGCCGCTGCCAGTGGTCGCGACGGGCTGGGACAGCGTCGTCGCCGTCGTCGTCGCCCGACCCGCGCGACGCCGAACTGCGACGACTGCGACGGGAAGTGGCCGACCTCATGGGCCACGCGCAGGCCTCTGCCCAGCCGTCGGGTCCTGCGACAATGTCGCAGGCCCCTGCGGCAGCGGCGGGGAAGCCGGCGCCGGCCGCGTCCGCGGCGCTGGCGGCCCCAGCAGCATCGCCGACGCCACCGCGGCAGTGGGCGCGAGTGGGCGGGTCATTTCCTCTGGGTCAAGCCCGAGGGCGCGACTGGTTGGGCGGCGGCCCAGCGCGCGAACCGCCGTCCTCGCGATCCTGGCTGCCGACGCGCAGATGCCGAGCTGGGCGTGCGTGCCGTGTGTGGCCTCGCTCGGCGCCAGCGCGCCATGTGGTTCGCGTTCCATGCGCCCGTGCCGCCGCTGGTGCCGGAGTCTCATTTTGGTTTGGCTCTATTCAACCCTGCCAGACCAGCGCCCCAAAGGGGGTCGACGCTGCTGGCGGCGTGGCGAGGCCCGACTACCGCGGGGAGATCGAGGTGATCAGGTCCAACGCCAGCCCCCGGACGTGCATGGTCGGGCAGGGTCGTCGCGTCGCCCAGCTCGCCCTGGAATGCTGCATCGGCGATGCTGAGTTCGTGGTCTTTCCCGACCTTCCACCGTCATTTCGGGTTTTGATGGCCTTGGATACATCGTTGCGACGTGCGTCAGCCATGACTTCGCCCCGAGAGATGTGGGCAACGGCAGCGCGACGTCCGAGGTGCCCTGTCAGTCGACGCTGCCCGGGCCCCTCGCGCCAAGTCGCCATTCGCGCGCGCTCCCGCGGGCAGGGGGCGCGCCGCCGCCGGGGAAGGGGCGACCGAGGAAACGCCCGCCAGTCCCTCGGGGACAGGACGAGCACACAAACATATGCGCGACATTCGTCCTGCGTGATTTTTGGCAGATTGTGATCTACTGCTCGCGTGATTCACGCTGCCGCGTTGGCCACCTTGCCGCATTGGCCCCGTCCTTTCGCGTGTTCGAGGAGCATGGTGCGTCGTTCGCTCGTCGCCGCGCGCGCCATTGTCGCTCGGCGCATTAGTATTCGAGGTGCGGTTTGCGGTGCTGGGCTTTGAATGTGGTCATTGGGGCCGCAAAGTGGTCGGGCAAGACGCGCGGGGCCAGCCCGTCCAGCCTCTTGCGGCGCATCATTCTTGCCCGCTGGTGCAAGGGGTCGCGCGCGATAATCGGCTCGCCGAAACGTTGTTTTAGGCGCGCGCGGGGAACGGCTGGTATTCTCCATTGTGTCATTTGATATCTGGACAAGCATGAATGTACTGAGCGGCATCAAACATGAGGCCCACGGCATTGACGTATAGCCAGAAAGCGCACGATCGCTCGAACCATCGAGTGGCGCAATATGTTTCGAGGATCGTTTTTGGAACCACTGGGGCAGCGGATTCGGATTCTTTCATGGGGATTCACCCCGCGGGCACGCTCCGTGCCGCGCTTGGGCCTCTGGGCCCCTTGCCCCCCCGTCGCCGGTCTTCCCCCTGCCCCGCCGCCCTCCAATGGCCGCGTTGGCCTTGGCCGCGATCTTGGCGGC